ACTTAAAACACTATTGTTCGCTTAAATCTGTGATGTTCAAATTACTTGTTACCTAAATGTTATATCTTTGATGATATTCCATAAGATTAGTGAAAATAAAAACAAACTAGAATCCCTCAGTTTGATGTACTGTCAGAGTTACGGATAAGGAATCACAATGCAGAATATCAGTCTTATATCTAACCAACTGTACAATTCAGAAATCTATTTTTTACACTTGTTTCTTTCTTAATTCACAATGAAACACTTACTTTTGAATGAAATTTCGGGATTGAATTATCAAAATTCTCTTCACTATCATCATTGTCAACTTCTGCTTCTACAATCTTGACATCATTCATCTCAGAATGACTTGATGACATATCGACATTCGTTGAAGTATTCATCAAATTCTCTGTATCTTGAGATGCTTCCTCACCATTAGTAGTATCATCATTATTTTTATAATTTATTGAAAAATCTAACTGTTTTCTATTCGATTCATGTGAACGTTTTAATTCCGGTGAATATTTACTATATCCGATCGATAGCGGTACAGGTGATATTTTCGTGCTGACATTAGAAAAATCAAATTTATTCGGTATCCAATCAGAATCAGTGGATTTTTGCAAATCAGTTTTATTTACCGGTTTCAGACTCAATGTTGTAGTTGGTATATCGGATGATTGAAAATGTACTAAATGTCTTAATTCCACCGGTGTAGGTGGAGTTAATGAAAACGAGTCGGAATTTAATGGATTCGGTGACATAACAACTTGTTCACTTCCATGTACTGATCGATGAGCACTAAGAAAAATAGACGAGATGAAAAGTGGGCAATTTAAACTTGTATACATTAAAACAGATAGTTTATCTAAAAAATATTAGAAACCTGGAAACAATGAACGGTTTCTCCCTCCTAATATGGGACTCATTTGAAGCGCACACGAGAACGTAGGTCCTAGGTTCAAACCCTGTGAGTTGCTGGAGTTGCAGACGCTCATTGCCATTGAAGAGTCCCATACCGAGACGAAACGGTCATCTGATGCTTCCAGGTTTCAAATGGTACCCTGACATTGATCAATGTATGATTTCAACAAGTAACTCAGCAATCTTCACGATCCCATAATGCACGTTTCATAATGAACTACTTTACCATACCAATCTTTTACCTAAACAACTTTTCATCATACACTGTATCTGCAATCAACTAAACTGTGAACTAAAGATTTGAAAGTGTTAGGATATTCACCAAATATCCTACGAAGAATTATTTTTTAAGTTTAAATTCTATTGGTCGATTCCTATTTGTTAGTATTATGGTCGTCCTAACTATCAATGTCATATACTTCAGTCGGATTAGAATAGCCTGTTGTGTCACCGGATCCTTGATCCTATCTTTCGTTTTCCGACTAAGGTAAACTCGTAATAGTTCAAGCATATCAAATTGTCGTGTTTACGTCCGTGCGTAACCGAAAATACACCCAATCCCGCACTTTTTATGTTTTAATTAAAGCCTAAAATTTGAAATGTGTTGATTCATGCATAAAACAGATTTTTTTCTTCGGTGCTTAAAAGTTCCCTGAAAAATATTTTCCCTAACTTAAGGTTTACATCATTCAAATAAATTCCTTACTTGAAATAAGTTGAACTACTTTCTATCGAGAAATATTTAAACATAAATCGATATTCCCCTAAATATCTCCCAACAACCCTCATCACATTAAAACACAGACATAGATGAAGGAGAAATATGAGATGGTAGAGAAAATTTGTAGCTAAGATCGATAACTATGATGGAGCTCGGTTCTCTGGAATCAGGATATTTTGGTTGTTCAGATTTCATTGTTCTTCTTCTGAACAACAACATACTTATCAGCACAAACTTCAGATAGCAGAAGTGAAGTATTTGAATTTCTCCACGTGTATGACTCGTAACAAGAAACAAATCAAAAGGGGGATACAGTTAGATCAAAATATGCAAACAACGACAGGTTTAAGGTCAACAGAACAATCTACGAGTCATACATGAAGAAATTCGAATATTTCACTTCCATCTATGGTTCGTGCTGTTGGTGTTGCGTTCAGATGATGAACAATGATGAAAACTGCCCAACCAAAATATCCCTAGAGGAGAGAGAACGAAACTTCACCACAGTCATCCACCTGAGCTACAAACCTTTCTCTATCACCTGCATTTTTATGTCTCTTCTATTCAATTCAATTGAACATTTGGTTAAGTAGAAATTCAAATTTCAAGGTTAGTTTACCTGTTATTTCTACTACCTTTCAATGCACTACGTATTGGTTTTTTGGTCAAATCTGGTACACTAGCAAATGTATGCAATTTACGTACATAACGCATTTTAGGCGATGCATCCAAGTGTAAATAATTTTGACTTTTTGATTCACGTCTTGATAAATTCGACGATTTTGTTTTTAAATCTAATTTCGATGGAATTCTTTTATGAATATGAGTATGTGTATGACTAATATTATTGTTATTATGATTATGAACATGTGTCTGAGTTAATTCAGCTTCAGGAATCCGTTGAATTGTGGTCGTTAACAATGAAGAATTTGTACTACTATGACTACTACTACTATTATTATTATCAGTAATATGATTATTATTATTATTACTATTATTATGACTACTAGTTGTGACATTCGGTTGATAAGGACTATGATTACGCAATAAACGTAATTTTTTATTCGATACTGATGTAATTTGAAATTGATGATGTCCATAATCGGAGAGATGTTTTCGTTCAAACATGTATGGATTATTTTTCTTCAACTCTGTTGAACCAATTGAAACTGGTCGAGATTTCGAGTCTACATTATCAGGTGGTAATTTATGATTAGTGGTACGTTGATAAGTAATAGTAGTTTGCGCATTATCTGACTGTACATTGGACTTTTTCTGTTGATCATTTGAAATATTTGTATGGATGTATAATGTCTCATTGTCTGTATCTGAAAGAAGGAAAAATATATAAATATATACTACAATTCCAGAGTACAAAATAGAAACCATGAATAAACTTAACAAAGTACTTGGAGAACAACAAAAACCATCATCCACAAGATACAAGTGTTTCTGCTAACAGTTGTCTACGCTAAATACTTCCAATTGGTTTTCCAGACACCATCAGCACCAATCTACTGTGGAAAGAAGACGCGCTAGAGGAGGATAGGACACATTGCAGAAAGTCCTCACTTGGAACCCACAAGGTCAAAGGAAAAGAGGAAGGACAAGAGACCCTATACGCGGAGAATTATAGAAAGATGTGAGAAGAATGGATAAAAATTGGATAGAATTGGAAAGGACAAAGTACGTTGTAGAATGTTGGCCTATGCTCCATTGTGGCTAACAGTTGAAAGTACCTTAAAAAAAGCTCAGCAGATGATAGGTGCAAGTTTGCGGATACTCCAGTCTGACTGAGTTCGTCGACCAAATATATCTTTGAGTCACTCATTACAGACAAATGTAGACATGGGATAATTGTCAATAATATTATTCAGTTTCCTGAAATATAGTCACTTATGCAGTCTTTGCTTGATCCCTCTCAACATAGTTAAGTGTTTAAGTGTTCAGAAAGATACCTTAATAAGTGACTAAAATTTTTAAACACAACAAAAACGTTGTATATTTTAGACAGCTTTGAAATATGAGAAAACAAGATAACAAAGACTCTCATAATTAGTGATAAAAATATCATGTATTGAGCTAGTCAGAAAACGATACTCATACGCTGATCCCTAGTATAAAACCTGATAAGAGTTTCATTGAAATCACACATCAATGATTGGTAGATTATCATTAGGAATTTGGGCACACTGGATGACCGTTTCATTCTAGAATGGGACTAACAAGCATTGAGCATCCACAACTCCTGCTACCCAAAGGATTCAAAACCAGGACCTTCGGTTGTACGCTCAATCGCTTAACCCCCTGGACCAATGAACCAGCAATCAGCGGTGTTAATGTCTAAACTCTGATCAATCTAGGTCATTTTGAGCAACCTCAATCATTTGTCTCCGGTAGTTACTGCCTACATTCGAAAGGGTTGTACTCTTGCGGTCATGTCTTCTGACTAAAACTCCTGGAATTTCTCTACAAAGCAACTCACTAATGAGCACCATGTACTGCTTAAATTCTCTAATGAAAAAAACTGTCTTTGTTTTCCAAAAATACATGATCATTCAACTTACTTTTAGATTTTTTAAATAAACGATGCCAAAATCCAGTATAGAGCATTGGATCATTTGATCTTGTTGTATCTTGTATCTTATCTGTTTTAACATTATTCTCTATAAGTACAGTTTCTTGTCGTGATGACTGGTCAGAATGTGTAGGATTTATCAGATGGCTATTCCCTACAATAATGAAAAAAACAGAAGTAGTTGTAAAGGGAACAAGAAAAAGGCCGAAAATAATTCAACTGTTTGGAAAAAGAAACTAGCTTACAAGATACATCAAAAGGTATCTTACAGGTCAATAACAAATGCCTCAAACACACAAACTGCATACTTTACAACTCATGAAAATATTCCTGACTGTAACATTGAGTGAGACAAATTGAAATCAATGCTTACTGATAAATATCAATGATTAACAACAAGACTTAAGTTCCAGGAAACTTATGAACTAGTTTTAGACACCGGAAATAACTTGAAAAAGTAAACAGATCTAATAACGATTACTATTACATTGATTTATATGGAAAAAAAATTTTTTTATCTAATGGCTAACAGTGTATAATTTTATTGGTATAAACCAAAAGAATGATTTTTGAGCAGAAATTATACACATCACCCAAATTCTAGTAAATAATGAGTCTATTATTATGAGATCACCATTAGAAACCTGGAAGCACTAGACGGCCGTCAACTTCTAGTGTCGAACTCACCAACCATGCGCATCCACGACTACGGCAACTCGCAGAGCTCGAACTCACCATCCTCGGTCTTCTGCGGGAACGCTTAACCTCAAAACCACTGACCTAGCATCCAACAGTGTTCATGTCTAACTCTCATCACTCCAAGATATTGTGCAACCTGATCCAATATCTTTGGTTAGGTTGAACTCCCCTAATCCTTCATTAATTCATATCATATTTCCCAAAATTATTTTCAGGTCGATAAAATGTAAGTAATTTATGTAAATTAAACGCTTAGAATTTTTTGTTCTTTGCTTTAAATACGGTTAACAAAATCTTTGCATGATATAATTTTCGGGCAGTTTTGGAGGTTTTGTGTATTTGAAACATTTGAAATCATCAATCAATCATTTTTAGACCACCATTAAAAACCTGAAAGCACTGGACGGCCGTTTCGTCCTAATGTTAGACTCATCAACAGTGTGCATCCATGACCCCTGCACCTCGCAGGATTCGAACCCGGGACCGTCGGTATTGTGCGGACCACTGGGCTGGCATCCAAAGGTGTTAATGTCTAACTCTGATTGATTTACGGTTTTTCCGCGACCTCACCCATTTGTTTTTGGTAGTTACTGCCTACACCCAACAGGGTTGAATTCCATTGGTCACGTCTTCTCATCACTAGAACTCCGAGAATTTCCTCACGAAGCTAGTCACTAGTGAGCACTGTTACGATATTTTTGGGCAGAGTTTTGGAGGTTTGTGTTTTTTACACACATGTGAAATCATCAATTTGATATAAGTCAACCAAAACTATCAACTAATGTGGAAATAATTATTTCTTGTTTAAATAATTACATCAATGTTCAATTTTATTTCAATGCGAAATTACCACTAACGATTGTTAATGTGATTATATTTACTATTGACTGTAATTTTCAACTGTAAATCAATCATAAAAAAGGGCATGAATTAAATTTAGTTCAATACAAAGATGAAATAACTGCGTGATTAAAACAATCAGATTGACATTGTGATGTATATATCGAGAATAGCTATAGTACAGTTTCATGATTCAATTTTTTGTAAAAAAAATAAACCGTTTTATTTATTTAAATGTTTAAAATTGGGTAGAATTGATGTATGAAACTTTGAAATTCTCGAGTTCGCGGGTTGTGGATGCACACTACGGATGAGTCCGATACTAGGATGAAACGACCAATCTAAGTTTGAATAGTACAACGGAACAGATCAAAAGCAAGTCTAGCCAAGTCAATATCATGTCAGTCTGTTTAAAGTGATTTATATGAGATCTGTTTTCGTATTTGTGTGTATTGCTGCGTATAAAAATGTGACATTTGTAATGCTTTCAGCTATTGCGAGTTCACCTTACTCAGTAAAAACGGAACGAAGATCAAACGATGCAGTGACACGATGGGCTATTGTAATCCGATTGTCCTAGGCCCCGCTAACTAGAGGAAGAAGTCTTGATAAGATGTAGACATAATCTATTCACAGGCACACAGAAAATACGAGGTTTACAAGCACACAAATCAAGCTTATTTAAACAGTGATAAAAACACCATTGGTGAGAGCCAGAAAACAGTGTACTTAAATAACCTATCAACCGATGACAGTCAAGGATTTTCCTACTGGAAAATGTAAGCCGAAGGTCAAATAAGCGTCTTTGGCGCGAAAAAATGAAAATTCAAAGTTTAAGGAATAAATTACAAAATAAGGACCTGCATCAAGTGAGTTCTGTGGATCTTACGTCCCCGATAATCAGAATAATGTAGTCCGTGAATAGAATCAGACATGGTAGGTTAGATAGCTATGGATCAAGTCGGATGAATAGTAAGGCCTACGTTTCTTTTGAAAGGTATCAGAATCTGGCATTACATGTGAGGCTTCAGCTACTCGCCTTTCTTTATAATATAACAAGTATTTCTGTATTATTCTGATCTGTTTACAGTATTGTCTTGACGGTTATTGAAAACGATGCGTACTTTTTGAAACGACTTAATTATTGGCATCGATTTTCGTTACATTGATTAGCAAAATTCATATGTTCATAATTATAATAATAAATGCCATATTTCAAGCTGTAACATCTTGACAAACAGTAATGATCTCGCTATGTATACAGCTCAGATCGAAATTCGATGAAGTATACTGATATACTAATCTATAATTTACAGTGCTGTAGCGGTTGTTAAATTTCACCAAAATCATGAATTGGTCAATGTTAGACCACCACTGGAAACCTGGAATCACTTAATAGCCGTTTCGTCCTAGTAGGAGTCTCATCAGCAGCATAAATCCACGACCTCGTAACCATCGGATTTCAGTTGTATCACGTGCGAGGCAGTTACCCACCGAGGTTTATGTATCACGCATTGATTGTAGTTGTACATGAACACTGTTAAATGGTGACTCAGTACGCAACAGGTTAAATGTTTGCCTGCTAAACCAGAATGTCTGAGCTCGATTCCCGTGTGCTGATTACGTGGATAAGCATTGCCAATAAGTCTTATATACTAACAGGCAACAGGTATCAAGTCCTTTCAGGTTTCCACTAATGGTTTAACACTGACCGATGCATGAGTTCAATGAAACAAAACTTTATTTCAGTAGATAATTTCACAATGTATATCACTTAAAACTGTTTCGTTTACTTTGAAAAGAAACAGTGGAATTCTTTTAAGAACGACCTGGAAGTTAAACAGGAATTTATGCCACCAATTGTCTGAACCAACTTCACTAATCTTCATCATTATTAATTCAAACGAAAAAAATTAAGCACAGAAAATCTAGTACATTTTGAAATTTAAAACTGGCACCAGTTTGTTTTTATCTAATCATTAAAACAAAATCAAGTTTATCAGTTAAAATTCCTTTAATTCCTCCTTACTAACTAACATATATTTTTTAATGATCAAAAAAAAGTGTTTCAAAAATTGAAGCAGAACAGGTGAAGATTGAAACGAAAAAAAACCACATTGAAACAATGAATTAGTTTGAATTCTTTTTTGTTGAAATGAATCAGGTCATTTGAATTGGATGTTGAACAAATCCAATGACCTGAACAAGATTAGAGTCTTTCAGTGTTTGTGTGTGTGTTGCTTTTTTTTGTTTCTAAATGAGAAATGCGTTACAATTTACATTAGAACAGTTGTTTATGTGTTTTTGTTTTACTAAGCGCACGTAGATGAGAATCTTGTGTTTTGATCGATCGATTGATTTATTTTCCGTTTATCTTTAGTCAAATCTATTGGAGTGGGTTTTTTTGTTGTTCTGATGAGGATAAGAGTAAACAGGATCAATTACTACTCAATTGTACTGTTTCAATCTTACAAAAAACACTTGTAAATTACTTCCAATATAATTGATCTGTAATAATAATCAGTATTATTCAGTCTTTGTTTTTCTGACTACATTTCGTCACATCCATCTACATGATAGGATTTTAAATATGAAGGGATTAAGAGTATCGTATTTTCATTCAAATATTCATTGATTTTTATGGTCATAAATGAAGTGAAAAACTGAACAATAATGTTGCTAGGCTACTTTTAATTTCAATTACATAACAAGTAATCGGTTGTATGTTGACAACGAAGATTGCCTATGAGATTTGAAGCACGCTGACCGTATTTCGAATCATGAATGATGCTGATTATCGATTAATTATCCTTCTTTAGACAGTTATATATATATACGTTATTATGTGTACTGTTATATATATATATATATATATATATATATATATCACTAGCAACGTAGTACTTCGTATGTACCTACGTACATCAATTCATGTTGTCATAATACATATTAGGTCAGAGATATGATTGTCATTTCTTTGATCGCAAAACAGTAACCTACGGATATCTTCTAATTTTAACGGCCATGTTTCACAGCCATAAAGTAGGATGGAGCGAACGACTGCGCAGTTAACGGATATTTCGCCTACCCCAATAATCAAGCAACCTAGCGAAAGACAATCAACCCTTCTGTATCCGTGCTGAGATTTCGTCAATACTGTCATTACTGAGACCTCGCAGATAAGTGAAGTGGTCTACACGTTCGACTACTTCACTCCCAATCAATAGTTCAGGTGCCGATGCAACCCAATCTTGAAGAAACATTTTGCATTTCGAAGGTGAGAACCGCATACCGAACATGCTTTCATTGTTGCTTATGGTAGACAGAAGACTCTGCATTTTGTCAGCGTCTTCACCAAGTAAGACAATGTCATCAGCATATTCTAAGTCCATAAGGGAGCCATCTGGTAAAAGGTCTACTCCTGAAAATCCAGACGAGCATAAGGTTATTTCTAAGAGCATGTCTAAGATAAAACTAAACAAGAATGGAGAAAGTGGACATCCCTGACGGACACCACTTGAAGTAGAGAATTCTGATGACAGTTCACCATAAGCTCTCACTCGACCAGTAGTTTCAGAGTACATAGCTTGTATAAGGTTAATGTACTTCTTCGGTACACCTTTCAATGACAGACACTGCCACAGAACCTCACGATCAACAGAGTCGAATGTCACTTCAACGTCTAGGAACACAAATATTGTAGGACGTCTGAATGTGTGTCTATGTTCCAGGACCTATCGTAGTGTGAAGATGTTGTCCGTACAGCCACGTCCAGGTCGAAAACCAACCTGGCTTTCTCTAGTCTGCTCTTACTAAGCTCTAGTTAGACATCTAAGTATAACTGAGGCTAACAATTTAGATACTATATTAGTTAGACTTATTCCCCTGTGATTGTCACAAGAAGACTTTTGTCCTTTCTTATAGATTGGGTCAATTAAGGATTGAGACCAGTCAGATAAGATTACGTCTAGCTGCTAAAACTAAGCGAATGTTTCTACAAGTTATACACAACTGTTGTGTGCAACATTAATTAATAAATCGGTGTATCTTGTATTCCTATACATCCTTATTCTTCAACAGTTAGTGTAACGGTAAATTATTTCAAAGAAACGAATTTAATCTATAAGAGGGTTAAGTTTATTTCAGGACATAAAGTTACAAAGAAGTGAGGGAATTTTTAGACTAGAAATTCACAACTGTACAATATATGGCTTCTTCTCAATCAGAATTTAATAATTTAAATATACTTTGTCATATGATTAAAGCTTTATCTAGAAATAAACTAATAATCGATCAATGTTAGACCATAATTAGAGAATCTGTAAGCACCAAGCGCTTGTTTCGTCCTGGTATGGGACTCATCAACAGCGCACATCTACAAACTCTGCTCAAGAGAATCAAACCCAATATATTCGGTCTAGCGCGTGAACGTTTAACCTCTAGACTACTGAGTCGAAATTCAACGATATTTAATGTCTAATTTCAATCTATCCACAATCTTGAGCAGCCTCATCTATTGTCTTCGGTGAAAAGTATCATATGCTCACCAAGTGACTATCTCCATGAGGAAGTTTCTCCAAGTACTGACAAGAAATTGTGATCAACTGAAGTTCAATCTTGTCGTGTGTAAGTGAAACACTACTTACCGAAGACAATGAATCAGAAGTTCCATACTTGGACGAAATGTCCGTCCATGACTTCCTAACTTCTAACGGTAGCCTAACAATCATCAATTTTAATGATTTTCATGAAACTAAACAATCTCGACAACTTTATGATGAAAATTATTACCATAGTGTATACAAGGAAGAAACAAGCACAGCCACCAGTTTTAAAATTTTTGAACTCTTCAATACTTACTAGTTTAAAGGCCTTTTTAATCAAGAAAGTGATCGTAACAATAATGGAGAAAGTTACACAATTATAACTATAGCGGACATCAGATCCGCAGAACTCACTTGATAAAAGTCCTAATTTTAGATTTTATGTTTTCACGCATGAACTGATCAGGTTGACCTTGAGGTTACATTTCCCACTCAGAAAATCATTTACTGTTATTGGTTGATATTATTAGTTTAGTACGCTAT